TTTTGCTTTAGTTATTTTTTTCAGATACAGTGTAATACTTTTTTGTCTTGAGCTACCATCCTACCTGTGCATCTTGAGTAACTGGGATTACAGATATGCACCATCACGCTCAGTCAATTAACATTGCTTATAAAAGGAAATATGTGTTGCTGAGAATGTCCATTTTCTAGCTCTGAATGCCAAGATGAAGAACAGGCACACATCGACTATGAAATGAGGATGAGGACATCAGACAGCACATGAAGGCTGGCAGAGCAGAATAGAGAGCCTGGTTGTCTAGCAGCAGCATCATGCAGCAAAACCAATCTCAGTAACCCCTTACTTCAGAAACAGAAAGGGAGGAGCTGGGAAGGTGGCTCAGTGGTAGAGCGCTTGCCTTGCATGCCTGAGCCCCTGGGTTCGATTCCTCAGCACCACATAAGCAAAACGAAAAAAGCTGGAAGTGACACTGTGGCTCAAGTGGTAGAGTGCTGGCCTTGAGCTGAAGAGCTGAGGGACAGCGCCCAGGCCCAGAGTTCAGGCCCCACGACCGGACCCCCCCCCAAAAAAAAGGAACAGAAAGGGAGAAGCCAACAGCCCCTTTATGCTGAAACACATACTCTATATACAGCAATGCTGCTGATAACAGCTGCAGATGTTGCCACATCTAGCAAACCAACTTCTTTAATAAATACACACTAATTTAAGAAAGGCCCAATAAATTCAGTAAATTCAATTTATATTGTACAGTGTTGCAGAACAAAAGAATAATCCTGTTTACTAAGACATGGTATGGTGTCTTAGATCTCTAAGACATCTAATTCATAGTGTTGAGGGGAAAAATGTAAATCACAGAACAGTAAGCATGTTGAATATGAAACTGTATACTGAAGCACACATCCATACACCAAAAACAATACTATAGATACTGCATGTATGTCTGCATGCCCAAATATGTACAGGAAAAAGCTTTTGAAGGAGACAACTACCTCTGAGGACAGAGCAAAGGGATTGGGGACCGTAAATGAAGTGGTAAGAAACTGCACTTTATTTACAATTTTTTAAACAATCTTTCTAATTAAAAATACTCAAGCAAGTCATAGGCTAGTGATTCACACCTGTAACCCTAGCTACTCAGGAGGGTGAAGTGTGAGGATTGAGGTGGTTGAAAGCCAATTTGAACAGCAAAGTCCATAAGACTCTTCAATTAACCACCAAAAAACCAGAAATGGACCTATGGCTCAGGTGGTAGAGTGCTAGCCTTGAGCATGAAAACTCAAGAGACAGCATCTGGCTTCTGAGTTAAAGTCTAAGACAAAAAAAAGCCCAAAGTGGAGGAATGATAGACTGGGACTCATTATCACTACCAGCTGTTTTACTTCCCAAAGTCCTAGTGGAAGCAAGGTCCTCTCTTTCCATCTTACTCTTATTCAACTCCCATGAGGACTACTTTGTGAGTGCTTTAATTGTTTCTCACCTATATCCAGTAGATTGCTTCAGTTTTCATGTATCTCCTGCTATTACTACTACTACTACTACTACTATTTTGCCAGCTATCTCAACTCCCTTTTACATCTCTCTGGAAAAATAATACCATTGGGTGAGTTCAAGTGTTCATTTGTGAAATTTCATAGTTGCTGATCTCATAGATCTCTCTCCATTTCTCTCAGCCACAGAACTTACACCCATCCTACTTTATTGTTACGCCTCACCAAATATGCTTCATCTCCTCATACATGTCAGCTCTTCTCTTTGTTGCTCAGTTCCTCTTTACTAGCTGGTCTTTTTGTTGTTGTTGTTGTTGGTCGTGGCACTTGAACTCTGGGCCTAGGCACTGTTCCTCAGCTCCTCAGCTCAAGGAGAGCACTCTACCACTTGAGCCACAGGGCATTTCCTGTTTTCTGGTGGTTAATTGAAGATAAGTCTCACAGACTTTCCTGACAAGGCTGGCTTTGAACCATAATCCCCAGATCTCAGCCTCCTGAGTATCTAGGATTACAGGCATGAGCCACTGTCACCCGGCTTGGTCATTCATTCTTCCTAGCAGCTTTAGTGTTAACAATCTCCTTCTTCTGGTTGGGGTTGGGTCTGGCCTATGTCATACAATCCAAAGAAGGGCTAGTAATCCTTCAAACAGGATAACCTTGAGATGTTACTTATGCTCCAGAGTGCCCCAGATCAGACTGAGGTCTTAACTTTTTAAAGCTCCTTATTCTTCCTTCTTCTGCTCATGCATGTGACTCCTGAGAATACTTCTTCAGTAAGTCACTTGCTTAACAACTTATAACAGCCTATAGGCAACCTGATCCTAGACACCATCATTGTTTACAACTCCATTTTCCTTGGCATTTGGACACTTTTCTGTAATCCTGTTTATCCTTTAATCACAGATTAAAGTCTTGCTCACATAAGAATCTTTTTCAGTTTTCGGTCTTCAAGGAATTATTTGTTGTATTATCCATTTGGTAATTCAGATGTAGAAAAACACCCATAAGCCCAACAACAGAAATTCTGAATTCATTGCTTGCCACAGACCTCTTTGGAAGGTCATTGAAACCTGTAGATCCCTTGTTCCTCATTTTTTTTTGGTGCCAGCCCTGGGGCTTGAACTCAGGGCCTGAACACTATCCTTGAGCATTTTTTGTTCAAGTCTAGTGCTCTACCACTTGACACATGGCTCCTCTCTAGTTTTTTTTGGTAGTTAATTGGAGATGAGAGTCTCAAGTGTTTTTCTGTATGGGCTGACTTCAGACTGTGACCCTCAGATCTCAGTGTTCTGATTGCTAGGATTACAAGTGTGAACCACCAGTGCCCAGCTTTTGTCTTTCTTTTCCCTTTCTCCCTCTCTTTCTCTTCCCCCCTTCTCTCTCTCTCTCTCTCTCTTCTTTTTTGCAAGTCCTGGGGCTTGGACTCTGGGCTTGGGCACTGTCCCTGAGTGTCTTTTGCTCAAGGCTAACACTCTACCACTTGAGCCACAACACCACTTCTAGCCTTTTCTGGGTATGTGGCACTGAGGAATCTAACTCAGGGCTTCATGCATGCAAGACAAGCACTCTACTACTAAGCCATATTCCCAGCCTCTACACTTATAAAGTAACATTTTTTAAAGTATTCTGTTGATAATAAGAATGCTTCCTTGTAATATGGCAGTATGTGTACTGCTTTATAAATATATTAATCTAGCATTGGGACAGATGGTATCCAAGAAGGAATAAGAGCAAGGGATATTTCAAGATAACTATTGCAAATGATATGTAACATGAAAATAGCTGTTATTTCTATTAGTAACCAATACAAGTAGCAGATAGCCATGAATAATGAGGAAATGCAAAAGGAGCCTAAAATGGATCATATAATCACAAGGTCTATGAGAGAAAATATTTTAATTGAACTTCCCAACTACCTGTAGACTGGATTTAGGGATAGGACTTCTTCATAGGCGATCTCAATAAGTTCTCAAGTGTCAAAAGTTACTTGTTCTCACCTTAGAGGCAATCCACTTTTAGTGTATGAAAGTGTATCTGTAACAAGTACTTAACTTTTTTATGCCATGAGTTATCTAGAAAAAGTGAACAACAACAATAGCAAAAAATCCCCCCCCTACATTTCTGCTGCCTTTGTGTGCGTGGTGGTGGTAGGGTGCCATAACTCACAGCCTGGGTGCTGTCCTTTAAGCTTTTTTCCTCAAGGCAAGTGCTCTACCATTTGAACCAGAGCTCCACTTTTGGGTTTTTGGCGGTTAATTAGAAATAAGAGTAACTGGGCACCGGTGGCTCACACCTGTAATCCTAGCTATTCAGGAGGCTGAAATCTGAGGATCATGGTTCAAAGCCAGCCTGGGCAGGAAAGTCCATGAGACTCTTATCTCCAATGACCCACCAGAAAACTGGAAGTGGCAATGTGGCTCAAGTGGTAGAGCACTCGCCTTGAGCTGAGGAGCTCAGGGACAAGAGTTCAGGCCCAGTGGAAGGAAGGAAAGAAGGAAGGAAGAAAGGAAGGAAGGAAGGAAGGAAGGAAGGAAGGAAGGAAGGAAGGAAGGAAGGAGAGTATCACAGACTTTCCTACCCCTGGATGGCTTTGAACCGCGATCCTCAGATCTCAGCCTCCTGACTAAATAGCTAGCATTACAGGCATGAGCCACTGGTGTCCTGCCTATGACTGGGATTTTAAGCATCAGTTCCCCTTTTTAGTCCCACTTACAGGCTTGAACTAATTTGTAGTACCAATTATGATCCTGCTCTGAGAAGTCCAAGCTTCGAACACTTAGAGGAACAACTGCAGAGGGAGGGAAGGGTATGGGAGGGGAGAAGGAGCCCTGGTATAGCATGAGAGAAGGGGTGACACTGTTCAAAAAGAAACGTACTCTTTACCTGACCTATGTAACTGTAACCCCTTTGTACATCACCTTTATAATAAAAGAACAAACAGAAAAAGCCAGAAGTGGTGCTGTGGCTCAACTGGTTGAGTGCTAGCCTTGAGCAAAAGCAGCTCAGGGGCAGTGCCCAGGCCCAAGTTCAAGCCCCCAGGACTGGCACCAAAAATTAAAAATAAATAAGAATATAATTTAAAAAATCTTTTTTTTAAAAAACGACAGGGAAATTTGATGAACTGCAGGGTAACTTTCACACATCTGCGTGCATCGTGCGGTGTTCACTTAATGAATGTGTCTGACATGTGTTCCGAGCGTACTGGTTAAGAGTTAACACTCACACACACACAAAAACCATTTGCACAGATTCTCCGGAACGGGCTCTGCACCGCAGGTCCCTCGTTGGCTAGGGTTACAAATCCCCCTTTAATAACATCCTGAAGTCGCGTCATAAATTAAATATGGCGACTGAAAATAAAGCTACGCAGCGGCTGGGTGACCGCCACCCTCCACCGCTAGGGAGAAGGAAGGTCAGCGGGGGAAGAAAGAAGGCCCAGCATGGCGGGGGAACGAAACAGAACCACCCACCTCTCTCCAGGACGGACCGGAAGTCGGGCTCCCGGGCCGCGCCCGCTTCTTGCGTCACTCCCGCGCGACTTCCGTGCTGCTCTGAACATGGCGGCGCTGAGCGGTGTCCGCTGGTTGACCCGAGTGAGCCGCGGGTGGGATGCGCGCGGCAGCGGTTGGGCCGGGAAGCCGGGCAGGAGAGAGGGGGGCGGTCCCTTCAGTGTTTGGGGTATAGGAGCCCCAGATCCGATCCCCCCGAACCCTGCTGAAGGCTGTTTTGCCTCTGTCGCAGGGGGTGGTCGCCTCCCGGTTCCCTGGGGCATGGAGAGGTCTGAGTACCACGGCCGTCGCGCCTGCTGCTTCCAAGAATCAGGTACGGGCGATTGCCGCTGGCGCCTCTGCCACCCCCCCGTGCCTTCCTCGCGACTACCCCCTGGCTCTCCCCGACCCCACCTTTCGCAAGGTCCCGGTCCCTGCCTCAGCTGTGCTGGCCCTACTCACAGGCCGCAGACATGAGAGTGGAGGGTGCCTTTCCTGTGACCATGCTGCCGGGAGACGGCGTGGGGCCCGAGCTCATGCACGCAGTCAAGGAGGTGTTCAAGGTGAGTGGCCTGGCGGGGGAGGGGGAGTAGTGCAGGGAGGTAGGGGGGACTCGATCACGCTGCTGGGAGGAGGAAAGTTCTTCATCTTGTGCTTCTTTGGGGGGGGACCTGTCCCTGAAGGCTGCTGATGTCCCAGTGGAGTTCCAGGAGCATCATCTGAGTGAAGTGCAGAATATGGCTTCGGAGGAGAAGCTGGAGCAGGTGTTAAGTTCCATGAGGGTGAACAAGGTTGCCATTATAGGTATGTGTGCCCTCTTGCCATCCTGTAGAATTGTCATGTAAAGTTAAGTGAGCAATGTTCACTAATCCTCACTTTACACATAGGAATACATCAACTTCCAAAAATGTCTACTAATTGATACCTGGGCACTTGTTCCTTCTCAGTGGGAGTGTGGAAGTCAGGTCATCTGTCAGCTGTCTCTGCAGGGTTAAGTGTCTGTTGATACTGTATCATTCATTATCAAGTCTGGGAAACTGTTTCTAGACTGCTGGTATGGCTGCCCCTTTTCTTTTGTCTTCCCTTCTGCTGCTGTGCTTTGTTTTCAGTCTTGGGCTTTCAGTTCTACCCCTTACAGTCTCAACTTTCACATCTCTTCTCTTGAATGCCTAACTTTCACATAGGCACGTTAAATTCTTTTTAACAGGCCTTTGGCTTTTCTGCTTTGGTTTCCACAACACTTGTTCTGTGCTTTGATCCAACTTGACTGCTTTGGTGTCCAAATATACGTAATGCTTTGACTTGGCCCTTTCTTTCTGCATATCAGAGTTCTCACAGTATAAGTTTCGTGTGGCTGCTGTAACAAACACCACAGCTTGGTGGGTGGCTAAAAATAACACAGGTTCTGGGAGGGAGTTCTCTCAGAGCCGGGTGCTGGTGTCTCATGCCTGTAATCCTAATAGGGTACCCCAATTAAGGCAGCATCCCAATATCCGGTCTGTGATCAAAAGAGCAAGACTGACACAAAGCATTAAGCAAGCTTTATTTTCACACCTAGCATCAGGAAACAGACTGGTCAGTCAGGGACTGCCTCGGCAGAGATGGACCCTGGGCTATTGTCTGACCCTATTTTTATAGCAGATTGACCACAAGGGACAAGCTGGACACATACAAGTGACCAATAGGGTTGTAAAATTCACACAAAATTGCATAGTCCTGTTGGGTCACACGCAGGTGACCAATTAGGTTGTAACCCATCTCTGGGCAGTTGTTTGAACTGGCCAATCCTTCTGGCCGATTTTGGTGCGCAGTTTTGGTGGGCAAAAGGCAAGGGTCAGTAACTTCAGTGGAAATGGGAGCCTCATATGTGCTTGTTACTAATTGGATGTTCCACCTGGCTCCCAACCTTGGTTCTCTGAGCTCTGTTATCAGGGATTTACAAATTTCCCAAGTTGACTTGGTAGTTGGGGCCAATCTTACAAGATGGATGTTTAGCAAGCCATGTACTGCTTGTCACTGACATGAGGATGGGAAATGCTTTTAAGGAGGATATCATTTCCTCTCAGAGCACTGTTATTAGAATGGGGTCCCAACACTAAGGAGGCTGAGATCTGAGGATCACGGTTTAAAACCAGCCTGGGCAGGAAAGTCCCTGAGACCTTTTTTTTTGGTTGGTTGTGGGGCTTGAACTCTGGGCCTGGGCATTGTCCCTGTGCTCTTCAGCTCAAGGTTAGCACTCTATCACTTGAGCCACAGTGCCACTTCTGGTTTTCTGGTGGTTACTTGGAGATTAGAGTCTCAGGGATTTTCCTGCCTGGGCTGGCTTTGAACTGTGATCCTCAGATCTCAGCCTCCTGAGTAGCTAGAGTTATAGGCCTGAGCCACCAGCTCCCAGCCCTGAGACTCTTATCTTCAGTAAACCACCAGAAAATGGGAAGTGTCACTGTGGCTTAAGTGGTAGAGTGCTAGCCTTGAGCTGAAGAGCTCAGGGACAGTGCCAAGGCTCAGAGTTCAAGCCCCACAACTGACCAAAAAAGAAAAAGAAAAAGTTCTCTTAGTCAATTCTGGAAGCCAGAAGTATGAATCTAAGATGATGACAGGGCCACAGTCCCTCTAAAAGCTTAGAGGCCTATGCTTTTTTGGCCCTAGACTTTTAGATGTGATTTTCCTCTTACTTTATATGGCTTTCTCCCCCTCCCCCGCAAATGTCACTGTTTCTTTAGTTCTTATTTTCCTGTGTCTGTGTGTGTGTTTTCAACTCAGGGCCATACAGTTGCTAAGTAGTTGTTCTACAATTTGAACATGCCCCCCGACCCTTTTTATTTACTTTGTGGATGGATGATTGTGTGTGTGTGTTATGAGGCTTGAACTCAGGGCCTATGCACTGTCCCTTAGCTCTTTTCACTCAAGGCTAGCACTCTAGTACTTTAAGCCACAGCACTACTTCCAGTTTTCTTATAGTTAATTGGAGATAAGACTTTCATGGGGACTTTCAACCTGGGTTGGCTTTAAACTGCAATTCTAAAATCTCAGCCTCCTGAGTAGCTAGGATTTTTTTTTTTTTTGGGTTGGTAGTGGGGCTTCTTGAACTCTGGGCTTGGGCGCTGTCCCTGCGTTCTATAGCTCAAGACCAGTGTTCTACCACTTGATCCACAGTGCCACTTCCGATTTTCTAGTGGTTTATTGGAGATAAGAGTCTCACAGACTTTCCTGCTTGGGCTGGCTTTGAACCGTGATCCTCAGATCTCAGCCTCCTGAGTAGCTAGGATTACAGGCGTGAGCCACAGGCTCCCGGCTAGTAGCTAGGATTATAGGAGTGAGCCACTAGTGCTGGCTTGTCTTGTGTTTTTGCCAGAGGCCAGCTTTGAACTTTGATCCACCTATCTATGTCTTCTCTGTAGCTAGGATGACAGATGTACACTAGCATGCCCAGCTTATTGATTGAGATGAGGTCTCATTAATATTTTGCCTGGGCTGGCCTTGGATGGTGATTCTTCCATTCTCTGCCTCCCAAGTAGTATCATGCACCACTGTACCCAGCCCCTTTGTTTCTCTAAGAGGAAGAACTTAAGTCATTGGATTTATAGCATAGAACAATTCTCAAGATTCTTTCCTTTTGCAGTCTTTTCCCAAAGATCACATTTCTGGGTTTTAGGGCATCAACTTTCCAGAAACACTATTTAACCCACTGCACTCTTAACCAAGGACTAACTGAAGCACCAGCTCTTTTGTCATTTTTCCTATTATTACAAGAACAGATTGTTTCTCAGTACTCCTATTGTATTGCTAATACTGTTCATCTTACCTGTCTTCCTGTGTATTATTTGCTCCCTGAGGGCAGGTCAGATGATTTTGGATTGATAGGCATTTGGCCTGACAGGCATTTGTCACAGATGAGACTATCACAAAAGTAGATAGAAATATCAAGAAAACTTGTAGCTCTCTAGTATTGTTTCAACCTATTGTGAAAACTACCTGTCCTCTATTAGACCATTTTGAAGTTTCAACAGAAGTTATATATGGTAAATAAAGCAGTAAATTAAGATGTTCTGATTGTAACTATATTGCCTTTGCTTGCCCCTTCCCAGAGGCAACTAAGGGTCATAGATTTGGGGATGGAGATGGGAGTCTTGAGTTGTACTATCTTATTGGGTGGATTTGACACTGGTCTCTGCTTTCTTAGGTTTGGTCTATGCCTAACACTGCTCTCCACACTTGGTTTCCACAGGGAAGATCCATACCCCGATGGAATATAAGGGGGAACTTACCTCCTATGGTATGCGGCTGAGGTAGGTGGATGCATGAACTTGGGAGAGAGAGGTACTAAGCACCAAGCACAGAGCTGATGGCGCTATCTACCTTAGGCGTAAGTTGGACTTATTTGCCAATGTTGTCCATGTGAAATCACTTCCTGGGTACCCGACTCGGCACAACAATCTAGACCTGGTGATCATTCGAGAACAGACGGAAGGAGAGTATAGCTCTCTGGAACATGAGGTGAAGCTCCAGAAATGGGTGTGGGGGTAGCGGGGACATGAATAGAAGTTGGAAAGAGGTAGATCTTCTTGCATCTCTTACCCAGAGTGCAAAGGGAGTGATTGAGTGCCTGAAGATTGTCACTCGAAGCAAGTCTCAGCGGATTGCGAAATTTGCCTTTGACTATGCCACCAAGAAGGGCCGTGAGAAGGTTACAGCTGTCCACAAGGCCAACATCATGTGAGTTGCGTGCCTTTGTGTGGGATGGCTCATAGGAAGGTAGCTTCACATTCTCTTCACTGATTCTGTTCCCTTTGGCCTATGACCAGGAAACTTGGAGATGGATTGTTTCTGCAATGCTGTGAGGAAATTGCTGAACTGTACCCCAAAATCAAGTTTGAGACAATGATCATTGACAACTGTTGCATGCAGGTGAGGCCCTCCCCATGTCTCTCCTGTTACAGTACAGAGGGAAAGCAGGCAATAGAACTCATTTCTCTTCTTCATGCCCACCTTATTCCTTAGCTAGTACAGAATCCTTACCAGTTTGATGTACTTGTGATGCCCAATCTCTATGGAAACATCATTGATAATTTGGCTGCTGGTCTTGTTGGGGGAGCTGGTGTGGTCCCCGGTGAGAGCTACAGTGCAGAGTATGCAGTTTTTGAGACGGTGAGCGAGGCTGCTTTCTCCATCATCTGTACTCCCCTGTTTGACCTCAGGCCTCTTTTCTCTCATTCCTCCCAATCTTAGTGTTCTTCCTCCTAAATGACCCTGGCTTCTTCCTGGGATTCCCCCAATACTTGTCAGGGACCCTAGCCTGTTCTCCCTTTCACACATAATGCCCTTTCTGGACCTCAGCCTCTGCTTATGCTTGCCTCCTCCCTGAGACTGGCTTCTTTTTTTTCTACAGGGTGCCCGGCACCCATTTGCTCAAGCAGTGGGCAGGAACATAGCCAACCCCACGGCCATGCTGCTGTCAGCTTCCAACATGCTGCGGCATCTCAAGTAAGGCATGGGAGGCTGGGTGTGGTAAGGGGTAGCACAGATGGGAAAGTCAGGGGCAGGTGTTTTGGATGGAATCTCAGTTTCACCCTGTTCCATTGACAGTCTTGAATATCACTCCACTGTGATAGCAGATGCCGTGAAGAAGGTGATCAAAGTTGGCAAGGTGAGTTTAAAAGAGTGCTGGGTTCAGGGCCTTGACACTATGAGGAATCTGAAAAGGAGTCTCCTTGGTACCCAGAACATCTGCTCTTTGACTTTTGCAGGGCTGCTCACCTCCCTTCTTTTGGCTGCTTCATCTTCTTGGTCTGCCTTAGTTCCCATCTATTCTTTCTTTCTGCTCCATTGCTTCATCCACTGCCTCTTTCTTGGGCCATCCGAATGCAGACCCTGCAGCTGATGGGAGTGGCAGGGAAGAGCATGAAGGATGAGGTGCTACCTTCACCTTGGTCATACCTACAAGCCTTCTTTCCTTCCTCCCACCTGGTCTGTCTCATTTCCTGACATAGCCTCATCCTTTCTGATGTGCATCTTCCTCCCCATCCCACTGCTTGCTTGGCTTCTTATTCTGCCTTGGTGGCAGTGGATCCCTCAGTAGCTCTAGAGTAGTGAGGTCTCTGCTCCTCCACTCCTGGCTACCTCCTTCCACTCCTGCCGCATTGCATCTTCTGGCCATCTGTCACCTGTCTTGGATTCCATCTTCCTTGATCACATTGCCCTGCCCCACTTCATGGGCTCTCTTCTCTTCTTCCCCATGGCTACTGCCTGTGGTGGTTGTAGGTGCGGACTCGAGACATGGGCGGCTACAGCACCACAACTGACTTCATCAAGTCCGTCATCAGCCACCTGAACCCCCAGCATGGGGGGTAGAGCCCTTTATTCCCTCCAACTTCACAAGGACCATGCTACCCTTCAGCAGTGGACCAGGAAAGGAGACCTGGAACCTCTAGACAGTGGACCATAATTGCTTTTATAGGGGACCTAGGTTGTCCTGGCTGGCTTCTTTAGGGAATTGTGTTGGTTGGTGGTGGGTGGATTTTGTTAGGTAGGGCCCCACCTCTAACAAGGTATCAAGATCATGGCAATTTTTCCCCACAGGTCCGAACTTCTGACATGGGTGGCTATGCTACTTGCATTGACTTCACTGATGCTGTCATTGCTGCCCTGCCTCAGTCCTAGGTCATGCTCATACCTGTTAAATAAAATGTCTTGAGAAAACAATTTTGTTTGTTTTATTGGGGTTTAGGACATGGTATGAGAAAGGTCACCTTGGGGCATGCCCTCCCCCCCAGGAAATGTCCATTCTAATCCTGGGATGCTTTTTTGAGCTTTTTCTTTTTCTTGGCACTACTTTTGCTGCTAGCAGCCTCTTCAGGCCCACTGCTGACTGGCTCCTCCTTGGAGGAGAATTTCCTCTTTTTCTTGGGAACAGGGAGGCTGGTTGCCTCTTCAGGTTCATTTGCCACTTCCTTAGGTTGCTTCTTCCTCTTGAGAGGACTTGGGCTGCCACCAGCTATCTCTTCAAGATCACTACTAACCAACTCCTCCTTGGAAAAAGCTTTCTTTTTTTTGGGTTTGGAGAAAGAGACAGAGGGCTCCGGTTCTTCCATCCCATTTTCCTGAGGAGCCTCCTGGGGCTTTTGCTTTTTCTTCTTTTTGGGTTTTTCATGTGTTTCCTAATGGGAAGAGACACAAGAACAGTGTTATTCATGGCATGTGCACCCCCCACCCCCCACTAGAATCAAGGCAAAAGGTAAACTGCAGTGCTGCTGGATGGCTGATTGGCTTGAGTTCCACCCTCAAAGCTCCTAAGTGGAAGTCAGAGAGAACAGGTGAAGATCAACTTAAGAGAAAACCCCCTCCCTTCTGGTCATAAAGCCATCACCCAAGTTGTTCCAAAAGGAACCCTAAGAAGTGTCAAACAATGAAAATCCCAAGTGATTGTAGTCCACCACACTGAAGACCTCCCCACCCCACCCCCGTGACCAGAGAGCATTTTCTGGGACAAGCAGAGCAGGAATTTATACTACCCCCTTGGTTGAAGACTGGGAAGGCAGCTGAGGACAGAGCACACCTGCCCAGGGAATGGGGTATGTGCCACACAACCAGCTGAGCTCCAGACCAAGCCCTCTGAGCGCCTATCTGCTTCCTATAGAATCAAGAGCTTGCTTTAGATGTTTCTGTTCAAAGGCCTGAACAGATGATAGCTTGTAGGCAAAGCCTTTGTTCTGCTCTTGGAGATCTTACAACCTATGATCTGCTTGTTTGGAAGACTTCCCTGCTGACTGACCTCATTCTCCTCTGGAGTACTACTGCTGTTTTCTGGAGATGCCATGGCAAGTGCAGCCAGTCGCTTCTTCTCTTTTTTCAAGCGTTTCTTCTCCTGTTTCTCAAGCTTCCTAGTAATTTCAGCAGCTGCTTCCTCTGCCTGACCAAGAAACAAACAAAAAGTGCTGAGTGGTTTAAAGACTCCTGGCTTATCAGATTCCCTCTCCTTTTTTTGGATCAGGCTCATTAAATCAGTATTTTTGCCTCCACTCCATAAGGTCAGGCCAAAACAGCTCATCACCTCCAAAACCCTCTTAAAAAGTTCAGGAGCCACCCAACAAAGTCCACTGACCTGAACCATTGCTTCCTTCATAACATCCAGATTCTTCCGTGGAATCTCTCCAGTCTCATAGAAGGACAATCGTTCCTCAACTTGTTCTCGAAGCTTCTCCCCAAATACACTTGTGGGTACCTCTGAATTTGTGTGTGGAAAACAAAACCTGTCAGCTCTTGGAGGGACAAACACTGCCCACCTCCAGTATCCTTCTACCCTCAGCTTTACTCAGACCCAATGTGTCAACACTAAGTGAACTCTGTTGACGAAAAATATTTACCATCATTGTAGAAGCTGTGAAGGTAGTTGGTCTCCCTTTCCCTTCCCTTCCCTCCCAGTTCTTGTTCAACTGCAATTTCCCCACTCCATACCAGAGAAGCAATCAATTCGGGAGGCAATACTGCATTTGTTTGCGAGATATCGGGAGATACGGCCTTTGTTCTTGGCTGCTGCTCGGCCAATGAAAGTGGAGTGGAAAATGAGTCCGTATTTTGGTGTGTTACCCCTTGTCTTCAGGGCTCTGAGAGAATTTTCAGAATTTGAGATTAGAAATTGCAACCCATCAAGCCAAGGCAGCTCTCCTTCCGCCATTGCCCAGCCTCAGGCTGGACTGGGTTCTCTACCCCAACACAACATGCCAACCCAGAGATCACTCCCAGAAGCAAAGGGAAGGCACCCAATGTCGCTGACCTGGAAACTCAGTCCCTTTGCTGGGCCCTGGGAAATCACTCAGACACCAGGACTGGCCATCACCCCTATAGCAGAGGCCTCTATAGGTCAGGGAGCCCTGAAGAGCCATCACCGTGATCCCCAAACAAGCAGTGGGCACCAGAAGTGGCACCTGAGAGGGGCAGGTGCCCTCACTGGTACCTGAACAGGGCCTTTTCAGCCCCAAGGATCTGCACTGTGGATGCTGGATACTTGGCCAGGTTGGTGAGGCTGCCAGCATGAGCAATGAGACGAGCACCTACCTGGAAAAAGATTTAGTAAGTTGAGAAATGGGAAAGTGCTGGGGACCAGTTGCATGTGCCCTGCTTTCCTCCGCACCTGGAGAAGAATACTAACAACCTCCTCCCCGATTTCTTTGTTTCCTATGACCTACCGCTTCCCCGATTAGGGCTGACAGGCTGGGGGCTACTTGGCTCATCTTGGAGCGCAGGTAAGTGTGGAGGCTCTGACGGTACTCTGATAAAGATACCACACGACTGGAGAAGCTCTCGATGTTTATCAAATCAATGGCTGATATGTCCATTCCTAGGAAACAACTAGTGTGAAGGGGGGTTGGGTGCAGAGGGAGCGCCAGAGCTCTACACCCCAATACGTTCTACTGGTTGCAGGGCTCTTCACTGACCCATCGAGGACCTTGAGGCATCCAGAATAGCTTTAGCCTTGGCTCCATCCATTGTCAGTTCCTCTAGCTTCTCCAACTTTTCCTCATTCAGCTCTTTCCGGTCTCCAATAAACTGTGCAATGCGGCAGTATGTGGCATTATCATTGATGATCTTTACCAACTCTGGAAAGTGATACCCATACCACTCCCTGCAAAAAGGCACAATCACACCCTGGCTTAACTGTTGTATCAAACAGTAAAGCTTCCTTACACCTATTCTGCCTGGAGGAAATGATAAATCAGATTTAAATCCTCCCTAGCCCTTGTCTCCCCATTCACAATACAGACTAGGCACAGGCCTGGGCTGAGGTGTATATGGGGTAGGTTTATTCTGCCTCCTCTTTCTATACAGTCAGTGTAAGAACACAGCCTGTGGTAAGCACCTGGAGGCCTGCTCTCTTGGTTCTGCCTTGTTCAAGATGCAAAATTAACTAAACTACAGGCCAATGACTTCACTGTCAGGGGTGGCCCCTGCACCTTACCTGACACGCATAGAGAAGGTATTGATGTCTTTATCCAGCTGGTCCAGGAGGCTAATGGACTGGATGATCATGTTGTCTACCCGGTTCACATTAAACTTAACTTTGGCACGAGAATAGCTGTGTCCCAACCCTAGCTGGGCTTTACAAGCTGATAGATCAGTCAGACCCTTCACCAGATTATGGAAGTGCAGACGAACTCCTAAGATGAGGGCAGGACTGTGAGCAAGGGCCTTGAGATAGCTCCTGCATCCAGTGGTCTTCAGGCAAGCAGAAGCAACCTCAAATACCCTAGGATGTTTCTATAACCCACCCCCCAAATATCCAGAATTATCTTACCTCGCAGGATCTCAGCAATTACACCTCCAGTCTGACAGTTGTACCCTAACTCCTCTTGTATGGCTGCACCAATCTTAGGGTCCCCAACCCCCAGGAGTACTTTCTTCTTTTTCGAAGGCAGGTAGGTCTCCAGGAGCAAGCGAAGGTCCTCATGAACAACACCTCAAGACAGAACAAAACTCTTCAACATGCTGGAGGATACTTCCATTATGAAAGAATCCTAGCCCATGGCTGATTATGCAGGCCCAGCAGAGCAGTCTGGGATGCTTAAATCCCTCCCCCTCAGGCATTGCTCAGAGAGAAGGAGACATCAACGATTACTCTCTCAGGGGATTGACAGATTCACAAGTCATCATTGCAAAGCCTGGGACCTGGGAGGATTGTGTTAAAAAGCCCAAGCATGAGAACTTGGACACAACTGAAAGCTTTAAACATACTCTACAGTATTTGCCTTGTTGCCTTTTTATCGGCCTACCATTCAAACAGGGCTTTTTCACTCAAGATATCATTAATCACTTCAGTGCCTACATCCTGGATTATGCCCTTTATCCAATCCTTTACACTATCATAGTCCTCAGACTTGAGAGCTCCCGGGAGACAAGGTTATTGCCTGCCACGTAGTCTAGGCTGACCTCTTCATCCTTATGCCTCAGCTTCCTGGGTGCTGTAGGCCTGTGGCACCACTCTCCACTAAGGTAATTGTTTTAATAGGTGATAGAGTTTGAACTAGGGGCCTAGTAACTGGCCCACTCTTTTGTTCAAGGTTAGAGTTCTACCACTTTGAGCCACACCGCCACTTCGGGCTTTCTGGGGGTTAACTGGAGATAAGTTTTATGCTACTTGGGGCTGGGAAGGTGGCTCAGTGGTAGACCGCTTGCCCTGCATGCTCGAGGCCCTGGGTTCGATTCCTCAGCACCACATAAGCAAAAAGAAAAGCCCGGAAGTGGCGCTGTGGCTCAAGTGGTAGAGCCCTAGCCTTGAGCTGAAGAGCTGAGGGACAGTGCCCAGGCCCAGAGTTCAGGCCCCACGACCAGACCCAAAAAAATAAAAAAAAAGTTTTATGTTACCTGCTGGTGGTTCAGACCTGTAATCCTAGCTACTCAGAAGCTGAGATCTGGGCTGGGAAGGTGGCTCAGTGGTAGAGCGCTTGCCCTGCATGCCTGAGGCCCTGGGTTTGATTCCTCAGCACCACATAAGCAAAAAGAAAAAAGCCGGAAGTGGTGCTGTGGCTCAAGTGGTAGAGGGCTAGCCTTGAGCTGAAGAGCTGAGGGACAGCACCCAGGCCCCACGACTGGACCTCCCCCCCCAAAAAAAGCTGAGATCTGACGATCACGTTTCAAAGACAGCACAGGCAAGAAAATACTTATCTCCAATTGATTACCAGAAAACCGGAAGTGGCACTGTAGCTCAAATGGTAGGTAGAGCATTTGCCTTGAGCTCATGAGCTCAGGGACAGCGCCCAGGCCATTGTTCAAACCTCGGGGCTGACAAAAATTAGTCTCATGTCCCCAGCTGGCCTTGAACCAGGATTCTCAGATCTGAGTACCTGGGATTACAGGCTTGAGCACCAGCTCCCGCAGCAGATTAACTGTTTTTAAGTTGCAAAATACTTCCCAGTAAGTTATTGCCATTAGAATGAACCAGGTAGGAAAGGGACAGTATTCACTACAAGTCCTCCAAGAGGGTAGAAGTAGGAACTACATCTTGCTTGTCTTTAATGTCTTGGCGTGGGTGGGCCAACTCACCTTCAGACACCGCATTGGCATTTTCCAAGGCAACCTGCGACGAGGAAAAAGGACTAAAGGCCACGAGACGAATGATGTTGTGGAACTTGCCCAAGTTGAGCACACATTCCTCCACCTGTGGAAAGACACGCGTTTCCTTTCTTGCATTCCGGGCCTCTGCAGCGCAGGCCACCAGCAAGTTATCAGTTCTGTAGCAATTATGTACACGGATACATGGGCCCCGTTCTACTGTAATCGGTGGAGTCAGAGGGTGGGGGAATCTTCATTTCTAACTGCTCCTAAAACGATGCTCATCATAAGCCCAGGTAAGGATCCCCGGCCTCCAGCTCCCCACAACCCGCTGGGCCGGCCACGTGGGAGGGCGCGGTGCATGCTGGGGCTCGGAGGCTGGAGGGGCTGCAGCGCAAGCCCACCGAGGGCACCCACCTGCGGCAGCAGCAGACTGATCTCCTCCACTTCTTTGAGCGCCAGAAGCGCGTAGCCGACCGCGTGCTCGAACAGCACGTGCAACAGAACCTGGAACAGGGAGCCGGGCCGCGAACGTCAGCAAAGCTCCTGATTTCATTTAGTCCCGCTCCCACAGTAGACACTGGCCCAGACCTCGGGATCGAACCCGAACCCAGACCCAAACCACGGCCTTTGCATCCCCCACAAATGGCAACCACTCCTCACCATGGCGCCTGCTGCCTGCCCAGCTCGCAATGCGGCTAGCAGGCTCTGGCGCGCGGAAACAGGCTCCAGAGGCCACGCCCCTTCTGGGTCGACCAATCAGAGGCTGAAGACGGTACCATTTTCGAGCCTTCGCAGGGGCAGCCGGGATGCGATCGCCCGGAAAGCGGGCAGGGGTGGCGCCGGGAGCGAGCGAACCGGTTTTCTTTTGCGCCTTTTGCGGCTGCGCGGGCTCACGAGCGCGGTTGCCGGGGACGCGCGGGGCCCTGAGGGCCTGCCGGCCTGCAGGGCTGGGGAAGGAACAGTCCCGTCACGCATGCTTTTGTCCTCTTAAGTGCTGCGCGTTAGAGCTCGGTGAAACCCGGGAAGCCGGACCCACGTGGGCCCGGGCGATCGTTCCAGACCGTAGAGCCTCAGAGCCGGCTTCCGGTGGCAGAGCAATCCCAGGGTCTCACATTCCTTCTTGTGCTTCTGTACCTCTCGGTCCCGGCCTGCCGCCCGGGGTCGCCCTCACCACGAGAGGCCCCACCCCACCTCCACCCCCACCCCCACCCCCACCTCCACCTCCACCTCCACCTCCACCTCCGAGCGCCAGGCCGCGCTTTCCGCGTTTTGTTTCAGCTGCGCGCGCGGGGTGCGGAGAGCGCATGCGCACAGCCTTCAGGGCCCATGGCTGGTCGCTTTCCTTCTGCTTTGGAGACTTACCACTATTGCTATTATTATCGTTATCATCATTTTCGTTTTCTTTCTTTCTTTTTAAGTGAAGACACGTAGAAAAGGAAGACAGTTCTAGGTTTTCCTAGGCCGGTTACTTTTGCGGGGCCGCGTGTTTGCCCACCTGCTGCTTTGGCCCCAAATTCAGGTAGCTCCGAATGTATGGGAGCTGCTTTACTGTCTTCTAGGTGACTATTTTTAAATAACTTTTGCTTTAAATAACTAATTGAGGGTTATAATTCGAAAACTTAGCTATTCTTGTCATGTATGTCCTGATACATTAATCGTTCTAAGAGGATTTAAAACAATAACTTGCCATAATTACTTCACATCACTTCATGTATTTTGTTTTCTTAAATGATGCAGTGATTTGACAGACTTGAAGTATTTTTTTTTTTTTTTGATCCGGTCGTGGGCCTGAACTCTGGGCCTGGGCGCTGTCCCTCAGCTCTTCAGCTCAAGGTTAGCGCTCTACCACTTGACCCCCAGCGCCACTTCTGGCTTTTTTTTTCTGCTTATGTGGTGCTGAGGAATCGAACCCAGGGCCTCAGGCATGCATGGCAAGCGCTCTACCACGGAGTCACCTTCCCAGCCCCAAATATTCTTTTATTTTTACTGTACTCAATGAAAATATGGTTGGTGAATCATAAAAGCCTCAAATATAGATGCCAAATAGTTAACACATACTGACTTACAGTCATGAACCTGAATCTGTTACTGTCTTTCACATTTTAAAATTGAGTCGCAAAATCAACCTGTTTACATTTTAGTATGTTGGAGTGTCTGAAACATTATAAATATTTAAAATGCCAAAATAAATGGAAAATATTAATGAAATGGAAAATAATGCTGTGATTTTTATTGCTATATTATTATTGCAAGTCCTGGGGCTTGAACTCAGGGCCTGGGCACTGACTCTGAGCCTCTCTGTGCTCAAGGCTAGCACTCTATCATTTGAGCCACAGTGCCACTTCTGGCTTTTTCTGTAGATGTGGTATTGAGAAATTGAACCCAGGGTTTCATGCATGCTAGGCAAGCACTCTAGCACTAAGCCACATTCCCAGTCCTTTATTATTTCTGTACTTAATCTTAAATCTTACTGGGGGTTGATTGCAGGTGCTTATCCACTAGGAAGAGGCTTTCAAGTGGGACTCAGAATCCATTAATCAGTCATTCGTGGCTAATGTTTTACAAACTAAGAGGAAACAGTATATGTAAGAAGTATTGGTTTGTATTTGTCTCCATTGAACATACACAGATATTACACAGTACATCTTTTTCATACACGTATGTAAACTAAAATCATATATCTGAGTATTAGAGCAGGATATATTTAAGAAAAAAAAACAAAACCCAGAGTCATTCAATGAGCCGAAAGACAATCACAGTCATCCTTTGGGTGGTTCTGAAACTCTAGCAACAAAGGGGCCCCTCATGAAAGTCTGTTGATGTTATATGTCTGAAGAAAAGTTATCTCAACTAGTGAGATGCAAATGCTTGTGATTTGATGGAAAGGTATAGTATAGATACTAAAATACAACATTCCTTCGATTTTCTCATCGTTGTCCTTTCATTAAAATATCTCCCCAATACAATCCTGATCTCAGTGTGCAGCTGCAAATGTAATGTCACAGACCATGTCTTCCTTCCCTTTGTGCTGGTCAGTAAATTCAGTGCTCTTGCTCAGTTCAGACCTTCATCACCAAAGTAACTCTGTGTGTGTGTGTGTGTGTGTGTGTGTGTGTGTGTGTGTGTGTGTGTGTGTGTGTGTGTGTGTGTGTGTGTGTGTGTGTGTGTGTGTGTGTGTGCTGGTCCTAGGGCTTCATCTTGGGCCCTGATGCTGTCCTTGAGCTTTTCTGCTCAAGGCTAGCACTGTACCACTTGAACCATAACTCCACTTTCAAGATTTTTTTTTGGAGATGAGAGTCACATGGACTTTCCTGCCCAGGCTAGCTTCAAACCACTATCCTCAGATCCTAACCTCCTGAATAGCTAGGATTTCAGGTATGAGGCATTAGCACCACAAAGTGGACTTTTATTCACCTGTGATTTAGATTTTTCCAAGCCATTGTTTTTTCTCATTCATCTTCTCTCCTTTTCCTTCCTTCCCTTCCTCCCTCCCTCCTTCCTTTCCTCCTGTCTTTCCTCTCTCCCTCCTGTCCTTCTTCCCTCCCTCCCTCTTCTTCTCTCTCCCTCCCCCCTTCTTGCTTGCCTGCTTACTTTTAAATAGATACTTCAGACTACTCCCTGAGCCTTTCCATTCTGTCCTGAAGTATGTTGATCTCAGCCAGATGCTCAATGTCTCCGAGCGCTGGGCTTCCTTGCTGCAGGCTTTAATTGGTTCCATGCTGTTTAGTGTTCATGTATTTCCTCAGTGAGGCATGGATAGTCTTTGGAATCACCTGCCTGTACATAATGAGGACTGGGTTCATTACCAGAAGGGCTCATTACTAGAAGTACTTGGGTATCCTTTATCTGAAATGTTTGGGATCAGAAGTGATTCAGAGTTCAGATTTTTTGGGGGGAGGGGAGGGTAGATTTAGGGATATTTACATTTATATGATATCTAGGGGATGGGACTCAAGTTGAAACAAAATTTGTTAGCCTGAAGATAATTTAATTATTTATTTTTGAGTCTAGGTCTATGTACTGCAGGTTGTCCTCAAAATCAAGTCTCCTGAGTTCAGGGACTATAGATATGTACCACCATACCTGGCTTGGAGATAGTTTATTTATGCTGGTATTCCGGCTTGAACTCAGGGCTTTGGTGTTGTCCCTTTGCATTTTTTCTCACTCAAGGTTGATGTTCTGCCACTTGAGCCACAGCTTCAGGCTTTTTGCTGATTAATTGGAGATAAGAGTGTCAAGGACTTTCCAGCCTGGACTGGCTTTGAATTGAGATCCTCAAATCTTGGTCTCCTGAGTAGCTAGTACAGGCATGAACAAACTGCTCCTGGCAAGACAGATCATTTTTGGTTGCCAGTTCTTATTTTTGTAAGTGCACATGCCAAATACACATCTGTTCTAGTCCTTAACTTTATTTATTTGTTTTTGTTTATGTGGTTCTGAGGGATGGTACCCAGAACCTCATGCATGCTAGGCAAGCACTCTACCACTAACCCACATTCCCAGCCCTGGTTGCCTGTTTGTTTGTTTTTTTTTTCTTACTACAATCAGGAAGATGAGGCCAGATGTAGAAAGTTTTTACTTGTGGTGATAGATTGGCACTCAAAATTTTTTGAATTTTGGAGCATTTCAGATTTTGGATTTTCAGATTGGACATACTTAACCTGTATTAGCATTTTTACACTTTACTAACCATTTCATTGGGTTCAGTGTGGAAGTTCTGGAGAATGTGTCAGCACATATGACCCAAAGGGACAAATCTGCTGTTAGCTTGTTTTGTTGGATTCAAGAAAAAGTAAATGATGGCCTCACACCTACATGTTTAGGAGACTAAATCTGGAGAACTGAGGCTCAAAGCCAGCCTAAGGAAGAAGACTCTTTTGTGATTCCATCTCCAAATCAACCAGCAGAAAGCTAGAATGGAGACATGGCTCAAATAATAGAGCACCAGCCTAGCAAGCAAGCCAAGCAAGCATAAGGCCCTTGTGTGCAAATGATCAAGCAAGCCAATGAGGCCCTGGTTCAGATATCAATCCTGGCAAAACCAACAACAACAACAATAACAACAAACCCACAAGTATAAAAAACATGGGGCTGGGCATGGTGCTATGTGCCTCTAATCTTTAATACCAGCTATGTGGGAGGTGGAGTTAGGGGGATCATAATCCAAGGCTGGTCTAGGCAAAAGTGGAAGATCTTTTTTTTTTTTTGGTCAGTCATGGGGCCTGAACTCTGGGCCTGGGCGCTGGCCCTAAGCTCTTCAGCTCAAGACTAGTGCTCTAACACTTGAGCCAAGCACCACTTCCAGCTTACGTGGTGTTAAGGAATCAAACCCCAAACCCAGGGCCTCATGTATGAAAGGCAAGAAAAGTGAGAGATCTTGTCTGAAAAACATAAACTGAGCTGGGAGCTGGTGGCTCACTCCTGTAATCCTAGCTACTCAGGAGGCTGAGATCTGAGGATCACGGTTCAAAGCCAGACCCAGCAGGAAAGTGCAAGAGACTCTTATCTTCAATAAACCACCAGAAAACAGGAAGTGGCGCTGTGGCTCAAGTGGTAGAGTGCTTGCCTTGAGCTGAAGAGCTGAGGGACAGCGCCCAGGCCGAGTTCAAGCCCATGACTGACAAAAAATAAAAAACAAAACAAAACAACAAAAAGCACAAACTGAAAGCTATAAAGGACTGAGCGGGGGAGACTTCACAGTCACCGGAGTTTAACAGTAATTCAGGGCTCAGATGCAGTGGTATA